ATCATCTAGTCCGACCCCCTGCCATGGCAGGAAGAGCACTGGGGTCAAAGGACCCCAGTAAGGTGGTCATCCAACCTCCTCTTAAAAACCCCCAGGGTGGGAGCCTGCACCACCTCACTTGGAAGCTGGTTCCAGACTCTAGCCACCCTGACCATGAAGTAGCGCCTCCTGATGTCCAACTTGATGGTAACTGCCACTTTGCTGAAAAGCACCCTTATTAATTAACAGAGCCCAGAGGTTGCTGGCAGGTTTCCTTTGAGCTGGGAAACATTCAGAAGAAAGCTTACAGGGTAAAGATCTTATAAAAAGGGAAGCCAGCAGTAGGAGGGAATGGTATAATAATCATGAGTAGCAAATGGTCTGGCTTACCCCGCTGCAGATCCTAGACGTTGCTTTAAGCTTTCTTAGGTGTTGCATATACCATCAAGAAGTGCTTTAAAGGAATAGCTCTGGCTTTTGGCAAGATGCTACAATAATGTTGTCTAGAGATGCATGCATAGGAGCACGGAGGTTAGACTGCATTCTGCTTGTTTGCTGACCCAGGCCCCTGGTTACACCTGCTTCACAGGCGCGTGTGTCTGGCTGAGGCTTTCTTGACAGCAGACATCATACTGAGCACACTGCAGAATATCTCCGAGGGACTTGTGGTCTATCCCAAGGTAAAGCTGGAGAAAAAGTTTAGAGTTGTATTCCTTTTAGCACTGCACTGGCGTAAAAGAACACAGCTTTCATGATCAGTGTAGAGTTCCTGCCTGCTTCTTATTGGATGTTCCATAGGGTCCTTGAGCTCTGCCCTCCAATTCCTTGGCATGGCATTTCTCTTTGCAGTTCAGAAGTAAAAGGGCACTTGGTGAAGTTAGGATGACAGGTTTTGAAGCAAATCAAAGAAAACATTTCTTTTTCCTCTCTTAGGTGTGTGACTGACCTATGGGACTTGTAGCGAAGGTACAGAGAAGGGCAACATGGACAATTAGTGGCATGGAGGGGCTTCCGTATGAGGAGGAACTAAAGAGGCTAGGCCTATTCAGTTAAAAGGGGATGCTGGTGGCGTGACATGATAAGGGTTTACAAAATACAGAATGGTGAACAGAAAGTTCAAGGGGATTTATTCTCTCTTACACACAATACAAGAACTAGGGATCACAAAATGAAACTAGTAGGTAGTAAATTGAAAACAAACAAAAGGAAGTTCTTTTTCACATGGCATGTAATTCAAGTGAGGAACTCATTGCCACCAGATGTTGTGGATGCTGACAATTTAGCCAGATTCAAAAATAAATTGGATGAATTTTATAGTTTCTAGGGTCGGAAGGGACCTGAGTAGATAATCTAGTCCGACCCCCTGCCATGGCAGGAAAGAGTACTGGGGTCAAACGACCCCAGTAAGGTGTTCATCTAACCTCCTCTTAAAAACCCCCAGAGTAGGAGCCTGCACCACTTCTCTTGGAAGTTGGTTCCAGAAATTCTTGGAGGAAAGGGGCATCAGTAGCTATTGTGCATAGGAGTTGGGGGTACAGCCTCTGAATTAGAACTTCCTAGACCTTAAATGCTGGAGGCTGCAAGTGAGAGGAATAATGGAAAAATGCTGGTCATACCCAGTTCTGTTTCCCTTCAGCACCCACTCTGCCACTTTGTGACAGGATGCTGGGCTAGATTGACCTGCGGTCTGACCCAGTAAATGGCAGTTCTTATGTCATTACTTGTTGCCCTGAGATATTGTTATATCTTTAAGAGATAGGTCTTTTACTAAGATTAAAAAAGTGAAGACAGTTATATGAATAGGAATCCCATGTACCATAGTAATATGGTTTCAAAGCATGTTGGCCCTCAGAGTTTTGATTTACAGGGCATTATGGGGTAAGAGAAAATTATTTAAATATGTTGCTTGTCTGTTCCATTATACTTGTTTCTTTTTTTCGTATTTTTCAGGTGATTGAGAGACGGATCCAACAGGAGCTACCCTTCATGGCCACAGAGAATATTATCATGGCTATGGTGAAAGCTGGGGGCAATCGTCAGGTACGTATACAACTGTGGAATCTGATGCTTCTTGCCTGCCAGGATTGGCCTTTTGGGGAATGAAGGTGTTTGGATTCTTTCCCCCACTCCCTCAAACTTCCTTCTACCAATTCAGTGGTATGTCAGACCTCAAACCTCGTAGCCTTATAATCATTGCTTTAACACCATCCTCTTCTCCCACACAGTAGGCAGGGAGCAAACATGGGAATTCTTATATTTGTATTAGAAGCACTGTGAGGGTTATCCTTCCATCTGTGATAGAGTGAGCTGTCTGTCTGTATATATAAGATAAGTGTGTTCTCTTTTAATTGTCATTGTTGTTTGCTATAAAGGCCCTTGGAGTGCAAGATGAGCACCTACAAATGAGAAATCTGACGAACTGAATATCTCCCATAAATTAAAAGAATGAATCAGTGCTGGGTCATTGAAAATGCTGAATAAGTCTGCACTGAACACCCATCTATGTGACTGTCCTTATTCAGCATAACATATTTTTATCATTAACTTTTGTTTATGGTCCATTAGCCAGTTTTTAGTATAGTTGAGAGGTCTCAAATCCAAGACAATTGGAATTAACTCTTTGAACTTTACTGATCATTCTAATACAATTCAAACATTATTAGTGTGTATTCCCTTCATCTAGTATTTTTCCACAGTTTGGAAGAAGTAATTGAGTTGCTTGTCAAGATTCATTCTTGCTTATGGTTTCCACTTGCCTTAGTGAGCTAAATTTGCAGTGTGGTAACCATATATGGGGTATTAAGAAAGTCTGAGATACTGGAGCTTTCAGTGGAGCTTATGATCCTAACCCACTTAAATTCTCCTGAATGTCCCAGCAGTACATTTAGCACCAGCACATTTGCTCTTTTTTCCCCCCCTTTCAGATACCTCTCCTTTTTCTTCAAAACTGTCAGTGGATCAGCAAGTTTAACTTAATTCCTTTAACATTTTAGGGTACCTGCAGTACAAAGAGTTGGCTTTTTCAGATTTTTCCTAATCTTTTCATAGCTCTTTTTAAAAAAGATTTTTAATTGTCCACCCCATTCTCTGCATTCTGTGTGCTCCTGCACCTGCTTCTGGATCAGGGCCAAGCTATGCCCCCTTTCCTCTCGTTGGGGCTGGGCCATGCTCCCTTACCTCCCATTGGGGTCTGGCCAGGCCCCTTAATCCCCCAGGGCTGGGCCAAACCCCCTTTCCTCCCCACAGAGCCAAGGCAAGCCTCTTTCATCTGCAGGGTGTGTTGGGATTGGCCTGACCTCCCCGCTCCCAATGGTGCCCACCATGCCTGCGCTGGATCAGAAGCGCCAGCTGGATCCAGCCCACCAGGCAAAAAGGTTGGGCACCACTGATACAGGCTAAGCTCTAGCTGTTTCACTTTCACATAGTGCTGTAGTCTCTGATGTTTTTCCCTGTTCAGTGCACCAGTTGACTGTAAGCCTGTAGTATGTGTCTGTAACATTTTGCTGGCTATTTTCCCTCTGTAGGATTGTCATGAGAAGATACGAGTCCTTTCCCAGCAGGCAGCTGCGGTTGTGAAACAGGAAGGGGGCGATAATGACCTTATTGCCCGTATCTGTGCTGATCCCTACTTCAGCCCCATCCAGGAACACTTGGAGAGCCTCCTGGACCCCGTATCCTTCACGGGACGTGCACCGCAGCAGGTGAGGTAGTGGAAAGAGACTGAAGATGCTGTGGGCCATTATGGCTCAAATTATCTAAATTGCATCCCCCTATATGGCTGAGAAGAGGCATGTTATGCATCTCTGCCCATTCCTTTTTCTAAACTTCTTTTCCTCTTCCTTGAGCAGGTGGCAAGGTTCCTGAAGGAGGAGGTTCATCCAGTGCTGACTCCATACCAAAGCAAGATGGGTGTGAAAATAGAGCTGGCACTTTAGCCTGATATTATGGAGTTGTATGGGTGTGCAAGATAATGAAAGTCTGAAAGAACCAAGCCTGTTTACTCTGTCTGCTTACATGGGGCTTACCCAAGCTGCTTACCGAGGGCTTTCACCCACACATCTCAGACATGCCATCATGCTCCTTATTCTGGGTCTACTCTATAGCCATCTCTTCTCCTCCGTGTGTGCTAAGATTGCTGGCAGGAGGTTTCCCGATTCTCTTCTGGTTAGATCATAACTAAACCAGATGTGCAAGCAAGAGAGCTGTCAGTTTCCTAAACTCACATGGTATATTTCAAGCACCAACAACTCACCAGTATTTAAAAATAACAGAAAACAGCTTTGCTCATGTTCCCATCTTCATCTGGCTTCAGGAATCACTCAGCACAGATGTAGTTTAAGTTGTGTTTAGATAGCTTTTCTTAAAAGTGAGTTTGGGAGCACCATGGCCTAAATGCACTCAACACCTGCCTACAGTGGGGATTAGGTCTCATGGTTAGGAACAGTAAAGGGAGAAACCAGCACCTGGTTGTTCACATTATAGTTGTGGTCCTCAAAGCTACACAGGGTGATCTCTGGCTACCTTAAGACATCAGAATTGAGCTGTAGTACACAACAGTCATGCATAAAAATGTGGGAACAAGGGTACCAGCCAGTATGTCCTTCACATCCAGGTCTGGGGGCTGTCGTCTTAGGCTGTGAACAGTGGTGTTAAGAATAACTGGTTATCTGTGGGACCTATGGGATAGTTTCATAGTTTCTAGGGTCAGCAGGGACCTGAGTAGATCATCTAGTCCAACGCCCTTGCCATGGCAGGAAAGAGTACTGGGGTCAAACGACCCCAGCAAGGTGTATATCTAGCCTCCTCTTAAAGACCCCCAGGGTAGGAGCCAGCACCACTTCTCTTGGAAGTTGGTTCCAGATCCTAGCTGCCCTGACTGTGAAGTAGTGCCTCCTGATACCTAGCCTAAATAAGAATTTTTTCCCCTGTCATTTCACTCACCCCTACTTGACCTAGGCGAGACTTGAACTCAGATCTCTCATATGGTAGGCAGAAACTCATACCGCATAGCCACCAGTACTGCCTTCTGGTATAAGCCATTGTCCTCTGACAAGGAGTTTCTCCTTACAAAGAAGAGACGGCAGAGATTCAGGAAGCTCGTAAATTTAAAAGAACTTCAGGAGACTGGGGTAGGTGTTACCCTGCATGCTTTTTCATTTGCAGCATCTGTAATTCTATGGCCACCAGTTCTAAACCAACTATTCTCATGCAGATTTCAGATGAAGTAGTGAATTTCTGCTATGCCCTATAGAATTCCTCTTTGTTATTTTTAATGCCCATCTTCAAGCACATCAAATGCATCTTCTTTTCCTTTAGCTATGTAATGTTGTGAAACGTATAGTCATAATAGCATGATTTTTTTTTCATTCAGAGATCTGATTGTGTTGAAAATTCTACCTCTTGTGCAAGAGACGGAAACAGCTAATTAAGAAACAGCCTATTGGCCAAGATGCCAGAGAGCTGCTGTTTTCAACCTTTTTTAGGTGGAGTACCCCCGGCATCTGGTTAAGAAGTGGGGAGTACCCCAGTGGCTGGTTGACAAGCCAGGGGGAGGGTCCCCCGGTGGCCAGTCAATGAGTGGGGGGGTCCCCCGCATGGCGGTGAAACCGGAAGTGCTGGCAGCTTCTCCACACCGCTGCTGTGTACCCCTGTGGCCTTCCAGAGTATCCCCAGGGGTACGCATACCCCTGACTGAAACCCCCTGCCATAGAAAGTTAAAGGATTTCCCCAACTTCATAATATAATATAACAAAAGTGTCCCATTGAGCACAGGGTAAGTTTTGTGAGAAGTTCAAAGTTTCAGATGTGACAACATCATTTCTGCCCTTGCATGATTTCTTCTGAACTAAAACATTCAGAACATCTCTTGCTTCATTTTTGTGATGTCAGTTATTTTTCCATCATGTACTGTTAACATTTAATTGCTCATCTGTTTAGGATGAGAATTTCAATTTGGACAGCACCAGTGTTCACTCCTGTTTTAAGTGGATACATGAAAGAGTGGACACAAAGATTTGTATTTTTCAATTTTTTTTATCCTTGTGGAAGGGGTGCTTGCATAAAGAATCATCAGGGGTGGGGGGTGGGATATCACATGCCTTTTCTCTGCCTCTTCTGGAAACTAAGATTGGTGCCAGCTGTGGAATGCAGGTATGAAATGTTGGGATCAGGCTTAGATTAAATTCTACTGGGCTTGATTTCTTGATAAAGTACAAAGGAAAAAGACCAATTGGAAGCTGTTGCATAATAAACATAAAACTTTGTTCAGTAATCCCATCTGAACCTTATATTCAGGGTCTATAACAGGATGTGGAAGAATTTCATTCAAGGTTTTTCTCCCTTACTCAACTGAATTAACTTAGACCCCTTTGGGGGTTCTAAGACTTCGCAGTATGTGCCAATATGAAAACAGCTGCTCAAAACCACTGGCCAGAACCAAGACCAAGAGGATGGATTGATCCCCTCTTACACACACCATTAACCAACAAAGCGTTTTAATGACTATTCCCTGCCTCAGCAGTTGTGCACCATATGCTAAAACCACTGTCTAAGAATGTCTTGCCATCTTACAACTCTGTACCAATACTGTTATGGTGCACAGGGCCTCACGGCATTGAAACTTATTAACCCCTTGGGTCCTGTGCATGTCTAACTGCATGCCTTAGATTGTGTTAACATATATCAGCTATGTACACATTTAAATAACCATTATTTTAACATTTTCTAATAAAGTTTTGAATTTGTTGGGGACTTACACTGCTACAAACTGCCAGGGAGTTTTATCAGATAAACTGCTGCAGAAGCTGATCTTTTAACAGCTCATATGATTTCTCTCCAGTATACTTTATTTTACTATCTATCTCTATAACTTGTATCCTTGGCAGATATCACAAAGCAAGCACGATTAGGCCTACTCATGAATTGGAACAAAAAATAAAATCCTAGCAGTGGAAGGTGGAAAAAACTTACTTAGTTCTTTCCGACTCATACAAAATACAGGATTATTCATTTTCCACTGTTCAGCAGTTTAGTCTAATTTTAAATGTCTTGAGTAATGGGGCCTCTACTACTTCCCTTGGGAAATTATTCCACAGGTACTATAGCTCCTGATAATGAAAATGTCTTGCAAGTCAGCCTAAGTTTTCTTTTTCTTAATTTCATCCTAATACTTCTGGTTTACTTCTAGATCAAAGAGTTTAAATTACTGTAGCATATCACAAATATAAGGAAATAAGATTATTTGCCTTTGCACTTAAAAGTTCTGCATTTCAATACTATTTTAACCCAATTTCAGCTCTGCCTTCATACTGCTTTATGTCGCTTCACCAGAGTTTGGTTGGATGAGGGGCATGAGCTAGAGGTGAAAACTGGATTGTCCAGTACAACAGTAGCTCCCATAGTGTAGGCAACATGCACATATCAGTAAATATTCTCATCTCTTTGTGGACTGAGTACCTCAACTATCTCCAGCCTTACAGGCTTGACATGCAGTTCTTGAATAGAGTTTACTGTGAATTATCTATTAATGTTTTTCCACTTGCAGCCACAGCCCTTGAAGGATACTGTGGACAGTTTTGAGTTACCTAAGCTTACCATGTTTGAATACTACTGTTCAAATAATAGTTAACCTAATTTTCAAGCTACTTATCCTAACTTCTGCACATTAGTAGACAAATTATGGAGGGCTTATGAAGCTACAGCTCCTTGAGAAATAGGGTGCAAAACTATTTGGAGTTTAAGTTACCTTGTTGCTATTTTAAGCTAAAAAAAATGGCAAGTTTACTGTGGGACAAAGAATTTCATCCTGGGATCCCAGAGATGGACATGCTCATAGTCCCACATTAAATACCAGTGAAGCATCTGAACTAAATGCTTTGCGCTGGGGACTAGGGAAGCTAATTGAAGACCGTTGCCATTCAAGATGCAGGTGCAAATGATTGTCCTGGCCTGGTTTTGGTGCCAAACCGTGGATTAAACCAGGTGTCTGGTTCTAGCCTTCCACAATCAAGCAAGGGTTTGGATGCAACTTGGTAGGTAGGGCCCTGCCACGTTCAGATCAGTGCTGGACAGAAACCAGCTATAAAGCTGTTAACGCATTTTCAAGCACTAAAATTGTAGCGGCTCAACTCTTCGTAGCTGGACTGCCACTGAGAACTACCTTGCGCAGATGCCGTCTAGATTGATTGCGCGCCAGAAGGGGCCCGCGGGGGAGAGGAGCCGCATAGCACCCGCGCCCCTCCCCCCGGCAGAACTACACCCCCCATAATGCCCCGCGGCGCCTCCCGGATGCCGCGCGTGCGCCCCGGGCCGGGCTCGGCACTGACGGCGGTGGCGGAGCTGATGAAGTGGGTCGGTCCCCGGCGCTCGCAGCACGGAGGAGGCGGCAGCAGCAACATTAGCAGGTGCTTCTTGCGAAGGGACGGACCGACCGACAGACGGGCGTGGATTGGGGCAGACGGACAGGCTGACGCAGGTTAGGAACAGGCTGAGGGGGGTTAAGTAAGGGGAGGATGGGCAGACAGACGTGCGTGTTGATGCGGGTTAGGGACAGGCTGCTGGGGAAGAGACTGGTGACTTGGGGTGGGGGTTGTGG